TGACGATCACGAGTGATCTCCATCCCCAGGTAGTGCTTGAAGGTCACCGAGGTCTTTCATCAGGAGGGCCTTGCTCAGGGCTGGCCTGGATAGAGGTCATCTGGGCCGAGTCCTTGGCAACGAGGATGAAATCATCCACGTAGACCAGGATGTAGAAAGGCTCAGAATGACGGCGGATGAAGAGAGTCGGGTCAGCAGTTGAAGGGGTGGAAGTCCAGGGAGAGGAGGACTTCTTTCACCTTGTTGTGCCATTCGCGAGGGGCTTGCTTAAGGCCGTAGACGGGGCGATTCAGCTTCCAGACAGTGTTGGGAGGGAATGCTCCTAGGAAGCTTTCTGGTCTGTCCATGAACACTGTCTCCTTGAGACGTCCTTGTAGGAAGGCGGATGAGGCATCCATGGATTTGATCTCAAAGTCTTCTCGAGCTGCGACATCCATTAGCGTGCGAATGGTGGGGAGGTTTGGATGTGGGGGAGAAGGTTAGGAAGAAGTCGCGATACTGTTGCTGGGTGAAGCCCTTGGCTACGTAACGCGCTTTGAACACCGGGGCCCTCGTTTGGGAGCTGTTTTACACGGAACAACCACTTGCCCCCGACGATGTTGACTTCCTGGAGGTGGAGTCTCGTCGTCGAAGGAGTGGTTGCGGGTGAAAGCTACAATCTCCGCTTCCATGGCAGCACGCCATTCGGCAGCATGAGGGCCCGAGAGAGCCTCTTGGACGGTGAGAGGGATAGAGATTGTCGGGGTTCTCCGCGAAGTTGAGGGAGGGTGATTCTAGTGATGTCGGGGAAGATGTGCGAGAGCTGGGGAATAGAGTGCATGAAGATCACACAGCTCCTCATGCTTGTCTTCCAGAAGGGTAGAGGGCACATCCCCCCCAGCAGGAGGAGGCGGTGTGATCGCCGTGTATCGAAGAACCAAGCGCTAGTGGAAGAGCAGCGCCATGCGAACGAGTGCCATGAGACCACCAGAGAAGAGGGTGGGGCAGGCGGTGTCCGAGGGGGTTGACTTAGGAGGTTTGGGCGGGGGAATGGGCCGCCGGTGGTACGTGATCAGCTCGGGCGACTGTGGGAGAGCGGGTTCCTCTGTGGTGGGGGAACCGGGGGAGGAGGTGGGGCCGAGGGTGGGACCAGCCGATGGTAGGTGATAGGTGCGCTCGGAGGGTGGCTGCACTGTCGTGGAGTGGGAAGTGAGGGGGGTGGGGGAGCAGCTGCCGAGGACACTGTGAGGGCGGATCAGAGACCTCAGAGGGGGACGGTGCGGTGGCAGGAGGGGTAGGAGGTGAAGGGGCCGGAGCAGGCGAGAGGTCAGGAGGCGCATCAAAGTCTGCCCACACGAGGGAGGGTGGATTAGGGAGAGGGTCCCGTCCCGAAGTGGAGTAGAATGGGCGGGGTCTCATCAAAGACAAACGTCGCGGCTCCGGACCAACTGTTGAGTGGAGGGGATTGAGGAAGAGGTAGTCAAGCGAGTCGGCGTTATGTCCGAGGTAGATGCACGTCTGGGTCCTTGGGACCGAGCTTGCCGCCGTGCTAACCGTCGAGCCTGAGGGTTGAGGAGGACATAGCGGTGCACCCCCACAACGCGAAGAGATCGGCAGTGGGCGTTTTCCCGAGCCAGAGTGTGGTTGGAGTGGTGTCCGGGACAGATGCGGGTGGGGATAAAGGTTGTAGAGGAGGGCGGCGTGGTAGAGAGCGTACCCCCAGAGAGAGTGTGGAGGCGTTGGAGTGGCTGAGGAGGCCACCGAGTGATCTGCACCAGGGTGTGGTTGCGGCTCTCAGCTATGCCGTTTTGCTGCGAGCTGTTAGGGAGGGTGAAGTTTTGCTGGATACCTTCTGAGGAGTAGAAGGCCTTGAGCTTGTCGTTGCAAAACTCACCACCACCATCTGAGTGGAGGGCGCTTGACTTTGCGGTCAAAGGCGGTCTGTGCTTGTTTAACCCGACGCCATGAGGACCTCTGGGACCGCAGCCTTAGTGTGGAGGAGGTGAACAGAGACGTAGCGAGAGTGGTCATCGACGATAACAAGGAAGTAGCGATAACCACCTCGTGCGGGAACAGGGGCAGGGCCCCAGACGTCCAGGTGTACCAGGTCCAGTGGTCCTGCTGCGACAGAGGGTGAGGCCGGGTGGGGCTGTTGACGCAGTTTGCTCTTGGTGCAGTCAAGGCACGTGGGAGCGGGGGAGTCTGGTGGTGGAGGAAGTGAGGCTGGCAGGCCGAGTAGAAGTTTCTTGGAGGCCATGTCAGCAAGTGTGCGGAAGTTTGGGTGCCGAAGCCGATTGTGGTAGAGTATGGTCGGGTTGGAGAAACTGCGGCATGGGCATGGTGAGGTAGTCGCCGCTGTTTGGGGTGGTTGACACCTGTGGGATGGGTACTTGTAGCGTGTAAAGGCCGCTGCTGTTGAGGGTGAAACGAGTCAAGACCTTGTTGGTGAGTGGGTCGAGGATATCACCATAGTTCTCGTTCTCCCAGAAGAATGGTGCGTAGCCCAGCTTCCTGAATTTCCGTTTGGGCCACGAGATTGTGGCGGAGTGAAGGCACGCACATTCCAGTGACAGTGCCGGAAGGGAAGGCGGGGCACGGGACTGTGGATGAACCCTTGGCATGAGTGGTGAAGCTTGAGTCAGCTCCTAGGAGAGGGATTGGTGTTGCGTAGGGTTTGAAGGAGAGTGTCTTCTTGAGTACAGTGTGTGTGGCGCCGCTGTCGAGTATGAACTCTATGTATTGTGGTGCTTGCGATGAGCCGAGGTACTGGGAGGAAGCTTCATTAATCATGGCAGTGCCAGGGAACAACAGGTTGATACGGACATCAGTAGGAGCACTATCACTGGCACTAGCCGAAGCGGGGTCTGGACCTCAACCAGGTTGGCTTTACGCGCACGCATCCAGTTCGGTGGCCTCTTGTCTGTGCCGTGGATGGCGTACCATTCGTCGTCCTTCTTCTTGAAGCACGTAGCAGGGGGGTGGTTAGTGCCACCACACACTTGTCCCTTACGGTTGCCATACTTGACGACGTAGGTGCACGGTGGGAAGCGGTTGCGCTGAAGGGGCGCCGAGGCAAGGGCCGATGCGACACTGGCTTGAGGCATGGGAGCACGGATGGCGTAGGTCTTGGCCTGAGCTGTGGAGTCTTTCTCGGCAGAGAGGAGCGCGGAGGAGACCTTGGCAAAAGTGAGGTCTTCCGCAGTCAGCGTGAGGAGCATCTTCCTTGTGATTTCATAGGCTGTGGTGAGACCAACGAAAAGAGCTGCTGCAGGGGCCTGTTCGGGGAAGACTATACCCAGCTCCTTGAGTTCGCCATGAATGGTCTGAACCTTGGCAATGTAGTCGGCCATTCCCGAGCAATCCTCAAGGCGGACCTGGAACATGCTGGGGATGAGGATGGCAACTCCGACTGCAGTCTTATTCATGAACCGATCCTGGAGATACTTCCAGATGGCGTTGGAGGTGGGGTAGTTATGGAACGTGTTGACAAGTTCTGGAGGGGTGGAGGCGATGAAGACGCTGATAATTGCAGCATCGGCCTTCTCCCACTTCCGGTACTTCTCAACGGCTTCCTCATATGCCTTTGTGTTAGTCTCACTAGTGGATTCGGTCGGCTCGCGAGGGAGAAGGGGTTGTTTTCCCTTGCCACGGTTGAGGAGGACATCCTTGAGGTCCAATCCCTGCACGTCACGGCTCAGCAGGTGCTTGTCAACCCCATAGCTCCATGCCTTGAAGTTGGAGCTGGAGCCATCGGCTTCAAGACGGAGTGGGGTGATGGGGTTGGCCATGGTGGACGCGGTGAAGGCCATGCTGAAGATCCCTTGGCGTCTCGCGCGAAGCGCTGCTCTTAAGTCACCGATATGAACTTGAGGTTTGGGGTTTCCGAAGGAGATTTTGATGAACCGGAGGTTTAGGGTTTACGAAAGAGAATTTTGAGGTTTAGGGTTTCTGAAGGAGAATTGGACTGAGACGCCAATTTAGTGTCAACTACCTACTAATCATATTCCCACACACCCCCCCACACACCACCCTCAGCTTCGCGGCTACGCTGCTGCTCGGCTTCGCGGCTACACGGCTGCTCGGCTTCGCGGCTACGCTGCTGCTCGGCTGCGCTGCTGCACCTGTTCAGCTGCGGGAAAGGTGGGGGGGGGGGGGATGGGGGTAGCAGTGCAGATGCGGAGCCACGGGCGGCAGCCCGAAGGTGAAGTTGCAGGGCGACGGGCGGCGGCCCGACAAGAAGTTGCGGGGCGACGGGCGGCGGCCCGACGAGAAGCTGCGGGGCGACGGGCGGCGACCCGACGAGAAGAGGTGACGCGACGACGAAGTTGAGGGATGGAGTGAAGATGAACGATACGTTAGAGCGACGTCGATGAGCGTACCATAGAAATTGAGGACGTCGTCGAAGTTGACGGGAAAGTGGTGCGGGGGAATTTCCGCCCATGAATGTCGCGAATCGACGGCGACGAGATTGACGGAGGCTACGCCGAGGTTTGCGGGAAGAACATCCGCATAGATAGGAGGATCACGATCCGCATGTGCGGATGTAGAGCTCTAATACCATGAAGGAACTTAAGCTTAGAAGTGATGCATTAGTAATGAGCTTGAAGCTCTTTTAGTACATCCAAGAAGGGGAGGGAATGGATGGGGAAGGGAATCGGGGGCAATCCCTAGGGATTGGGGGTAATCCCAAGGTAATCTCCAATTGGTGGGTTGGAGATTGCTTGGAGATTACATTTGGGTTTGGTTGGGATGTAGGTGTACACCCAACCAAACACAATGTGCAAACTACACTACTCTAGGATATAGAAAATACAAAGTACAAAGTGTGAGAGTGAAGGCTAACACTAACAGAGGCGGTTGTCAAGTCCTCCCAGCTGCCTGTTGCATATTTCCCTCCCTATTCCCTGCACAAACCGCCTAGCAGGTGCATGTGCGCATGTGCATGCTAGTGCCACGCAACAGCAACATGAGGTGTATTTTGAGACGCCTCAAAATACACCGCCTAGCAGGCGCATGTGCGCATGCTAGCGGCACTCAACAGCAACATCCGTGCCCACGAGGACGAGGCAGTCGTCAATTCCGCTAAGCTGCCTGCCACCCATTCCCCCTTCTTTCGCCCTCCTTATATGGTCCCTATTCCACCAGGCGCACGTGCGCATGCTAGCAGCGCTGAAAACAACATCCTAGCTCACGATGACGAGGCAGTGTTCAACTTCTCCCACCCACTTGCACGTCCTCTTTCTTGTACAATATGATCCCCTCCCACCAGGCCCACGTGCGCATGCTAGCAGCGCTCAACAGCAACATTCTAGCACATGAAGACGAGGCAGTGTTCAAGTTCTCCCACCTGCCTCTCAGCTGCCTATCACTTGCCTGCTCATGTGCCCTCCCCCACCAGGCGCACGTGCGCATGCTAGCGGCGCTCAACAACAACATCCTGGCTCACGAGGACGAAGCGGTCTTCAAGTTCTCCCAGCTGCCTGTGGCGGGCGGCAGTCAGATCTACCTGGGCCTTCCCTGCACTGTCACGCACGCTGTGACTCATGGAAGCCCTTTATATTGCCTCTCGCACTCGGTAAGACCCCTCATGGAGCTCATTACACTTGTGAAGTGGGAGTGATGTGCAGTTCTCCCAGCTGCCTGTGGCTGGCGGCAGTCAGATGTACCTGGTCCTGCCCTGCACCGTCACCCACGCAGTCACACAATGAGAGCCCCTTGTATGGGCTCTCGCACTCGGTAAGAAGCATACTTGTTAACAGCACACTCTGTAACATCACACAGCTGACCGAGTAAGCAAGCAGGGCCAGGTGACAAGGAGTGGCAAGTGCAGTCGAACACACACACCCCCCCTTCCTCTTAAGATGATGGAGCGGTCAGCCCTCGAGATCCTGGTGCTGCAGGACGTTGTCGTGGGGGACGTATGCTCCCAGTCCTTTCGTGCTTCCCTTTTTGAGAATTCTCAAAAGAAAGTCACGTGCGCTGCTCGTTTTCCGCCTCCTTCCTCTGCTCAGATGATGGAGCGATCGGACTTCGAGATTCTGGTGCTGCTGGAGGCAGTGGTGTGTGGGTGTGTGTGTGACTTCTCATTCCCCCCATGCTCTGCTCTCACCTCCCCTCCCTCCTCTCACCTCCCCTCCCTCCTCTCAGATGATGGAGCGGTCAGACCCCGAGATCCTGATGCTGCTGTCGTGACTTGAGTCCATATTCTCATCTGTGAGTCTCCCACGTCTCTCCCTCCCACCCCACCTCTCTTTCCCGCCTCCTTTCCAGATGATGGAGCGGTCAGACCTTGAGATCCTGGTGTTGCTGGAGGCGGTCGACTGCTCCACGTCTGCCAGTAGTCTCATCTCCTTGTATTCACATCCTCTGCTCACTTCCCTGTTCTTCCTCGTCCCCCGCTCTACCCAGATGATGGAACGATCTGATCTTGAGATCCTGGTGCTGCTGGAGGCGGTCGACTGCTCCACCTCTGCCACCCTGCAAGGTGACTGTAGAGCGAGGTGATCGTAGAGCGAGGTGACTGTAGCGAGGGCTAAAAGGTGCCCTTAGGGCTGCTCTAACGTGACTGTAGTAAGGTGATTGTGCGCGGTGACCTCGAGATCCTGGTGCTGCTGGTGGCGGTCGACTGTTCCACCTCTGCCACCTTGCAAGGTGATTGTGTAATGAGGTGACTGTAGCGAGGGCTGCAAGGAGTGACATCACATTGCATCGTATTGCCTGTGTAACATCATCTGGAGGCAGTGGACAATTGCGATAGCGAGGTGACTGTAGCGAGGTCTACAAGGTGACACTTAGGAATGCTCTAACGTGACTGTAGCAAGCTGACTGTAGCGGGGTTACAAGGTGACACTTAGGAATGCTCTAAGGTGACTCTAGCGAGGTGACTGTAGCGAGGTGACTGTAGCGAGGTGGTGACTGTAGCGAGGTGACTGTAGCGAGGTGACTGCAAGCCCAACTTCCTTTCCTGCTTCCTCTTTCTCACCCCATTCCCCGTTGACTTGTCCGCCTGCCAGTGCGCCACTCCTACCGCCCATGTGACATCAAACACAATTACCGCTTCGTGTGAGTGCCCACCTATCCTTTCTTTCTCTCAAACCCCTCAGCCCCAAACCCCCCGACGCCCCCCCCCCCTCCCCCTCCCCCCCCGGACCTCTTCCTTCTCACAATCACTTAAATTCCAGCCATCTGAATATCCACCATCTATGAATTTTCCACTCGTTCTCCACTCCACCTGCCATTACCTGACGCTTATTCAGGAAAATGGTTTGCAGGCGCCTCTAAATTTTCACCACCTGAGTATTCTCCTTGCTTTCTCTCCATTTTCTCATCCTCTCACCACCTGCCCCGCATTCAGGAAGATGGTCTATCGAGCTGCAAACGGCCGGCGCTGTGTGGTATGTCCCTCCCCAGCCTCTCCCCAGCCTCTCCCCAGCCTCTCCCCAGCCTCTCCCCAGCCTCTCCCCAGCCTCTCCCCAGCCTCTCCCCAGCCTCTCCCCAGCCTCTCCCCAGCCTCTCCCCAGCCTCTCCCCAGCCTCTCCCCGCCTCTCCCCGCCTCTCCCCGCCTCTCCCCGCCTCTCCCCGCCTCTTCCCGCCTCTCTGCGCCATCTCCCTTTTCTCTCTGCGCCATCCCCCCCTCCTCCTCTCTCCACCATCGCTTTTCTCTCCTCCATCCCTTCTCTCTCCGCCATCCCTCGTTTAAGGACCCTCTAAAGGGTCACTCGCTCTGCTTTTGCGGCATGGCATGGCATGGCATGGCATGGCATGGTTTGGCATGGCATGGTTTGGCATGGCATGGTTTGGCATGGCATGGCATGGCATGGTTTGGCATGGCATGTCATGGCATGGTTTGGCATGGCATGGCATGTCATGGCATGGTTTGGCATGGCATGGCATGGCATGGTTTGGCATGGCCGTGTCTGCCATGGCATGCATGGTGTGGATTTGAAACTCATTGCATGGCTTTGTTTGGCGTTGGATGGCACTGGATGGCATGGGGTGGCATGGCACATGGCACATGGCATTATTTGGCATGGCATGCCAAATGACATCTCTGCAGGACTTGTCTCTCTTAGATGCCTATTGTCTGCCTCAGGCCCCTCAGCCCAGCCCCTCCGTCCCCCCTTCCCTTACTCGCCTCGCCCCCCCTCCTCTCCTTGCACATAACATGCATGCAGGACGTTTTTCTTTTTGATGCAATTGTCTCTTAAATGCCATATTGTCTCAGCCTCAGACCCCTCACCTCAACCCCTCCATCCGCCCTCCTCTCTCACCCTCCCCTTCTCCTTTCTCTCCCTTCACATAACATGTCTGCAGGATTTCTCTCTCTTGGATGCAATCGTGTCACTGAGCATGCCAGCATAACATGCCTCAGACTCCTCACCTCAACGCCTCCCCTCCGTCCCCCCTTCCTTTACTTCCCTTTCTCCTTTCTCTCCCTTCACATAACATGTCTGCAGGACTTCTCTCTCTTCGATGCAATCGTGTCAGCCTCACACCCTTCACCTAAACGCCTCCCCTCCGTCCGCCCTCCCTGCCCTTACCCGCCCCCCCTCCTTTCTCTCCCTTCACATACCATCCTTGCAGGACTTTTCTCTCTTTGACGCCATCGTGTCTGCCTTAGACCCCTCGTTTCAACCCCTCCGCCCACCCTCGCTCACCCGCCCCTCCTTCCACTCCCTTCACGTAACATCCTTGCAGGACTTCTCTCTCTTTGATGCCATCGTGTCTGCCTCAGACCCCTCCGCTCGACCCTTCCGTCCACACTCCTCCCTCACCTGTTCGTCCTTTTTCTCCCTTACCCGCCCCGCTCCTTTCTCTCCCTTCACATAACATCCCTGCAGGACTTGTCTCTCTTTGATGCCATCGTGTCAGCTTCACACCTCTCAGCTCAACCCCTCCGTCCCCCCTCCCTTACCGTACCCCTCCTTTCTCTCCCTTCACACAACATGCGTGCAGGATTTCTCTCTGTTCGATGCAATCGTGTCAGCTTCAGACCCCTCAGCCCAGCCCCTCCGTCCCCCATCACTCACCCGCCCCTCCTCCTTCCTCTCCCTCCTCAACCTTGCCGCTGCTCCCTCCTCCTCTGCTGCTGCTCCGCCCTCCTCCTCCTCCCCTGCCACTGCTCCTTCTCCTACTCCTGCGCAAGCTCTCACCCCGGTTCCTGCCCTTACCCCCACTCTTGCTCCCATACTTCCTGCGTCTCCAGCAACAGTTGCTGCAAGCAGCACTGCTGCCACCCCCACTGTTCCGCCCATTGCTCCTCCGCCCGTTGCTCCTCCCCCCATTGCTCCTCCGCCCGTTGCTCCTCCGCCCGTTGCTCCTCCGCCCGTTGCTCCTCCTTCTATTGGTGCTCCCCACATCGTTCCCCCAAGCCAACCTGCCAGTGCCTACCCCCCAGCCCCTTCAATCTTCCTCCCCATCTCTCAACCCCAGCTGCCCGATTCCTCCCCATCCATTACCCCGCTACCTCTCACCCCCCCACTCCCCTCCCCACTCCTCTCCACGCCTATTCACCGTGTCCCACCCACCATACCATCCACACCCCTGGCGAGTGATAGTGCAAACGCACAAAGCAGACACTCACAGGCAATAAGCACGCACCCTCGGCCAAAGGTGCAGCTCCAACAGCAGCAACCACAGCAGATACCACAGCAGCAGCCATACCATCAGCCACAGCAGCAGCCGCACCAGCAGCCACAGCAGCACGCACAGCAGAAACGGCACCAGCACTACCAGCTCCCACTCAGCTCCTCCCCCTCTGACTTCCCTGCTGCCACCTCCCTTAGCACGTGGATTCACGGCTCTGCTAATAATTCTCTTTCCGACATGCATGCTGCTGCTGCTTCTGCCGCGGCTTCTTCTTTCCCTGCAACCGCAGGTCGCTCTGCTGCTGCTGTAATTGCCCCGGCAATTGCAGGGAACGTTTCTGTGATTCACGGTTCTCCTGGTAATTCCGTTTCTGACATGCGTGGCGCTGCTGTTTCTGCTCGCAGTATTCCCTCTGCTGCTGTCCCTGCAACCTCAGGTAGCTCTGATGCTGCTGCTGCAGTTGCCCCTGCACTTGCAGCAAACGTTTCTGTGACCGCTGATTTTGGGAATTCGTCAAGGGAGGGCAGGAGTGGGAGAATGGGAGATGAAACAGCTGCAGCAGAAGCAGCTGCAGCTGGGGCAGAGGATGAGGAGACAGGTGAAGGGTCCGAGGAAGGATTAGAGGGAGATGGCAGAGGAGAAGGGGGAGAAGAGGGGGCAGGGGGAGAGGATGAGGAAGGAGATGAGGAGGAGGAGCTGAGGATGATGGAGAATGACTATGAGCAGCAGGTAAGGCGTTTTTTTTTTTTTTGCATGTTGCAGTATGTGTCCTGTGTGTGTGGTGTATGTGCGGTATGTGTGCGGTATGTGTGCAGTATGTGTGCGGTACGTTTGCGCGGCGTGTGTGTGCGGTATGTGTGTGCAGTATAGTGGTGTGTGTGTGCAGCCTGTGTGTGCGGTATGTGCGCGGTACGTGTGTGTGGTGTGTGTGTGTGTAGTATGTGTGTGCGGTACGTGTTTGCGGTATGTGTGTGTGTGTGTGTGTGTGCGTGCGTGCGTGCGTGCGTGCGTGAGTGCGTGCGTGCGTGCGCGGCGCGCGTGCATGTGTGCGGTGTGTGCGTGCGGTGTGTGCGTGCGGTGTGTGTGTGTGTATGATGGAGAATGACTTTCAACAGCAGCAGTTACATGCAATCGACAGGAAATTGCAAGTAATGAGTCTGTGCAATCATCATAAATGGGAAGCACGTATGTGCTTTCTTCTTCCCCTTCCCCTTCTGTTACCCATCAACACCTGTTTTCTCCATCGCCCTTTCTCCCTCCTCCTTTCTGCCCCCCTACCTCCCCCTTACCTCCCCCACCTGCCCCCCACCTCCCCCCCACCTGCCCCCCCATCAGGTGCAGCAGGCGGAAGAAAGAGCCCTGTGGTGGCGCCATGCAACCATAGACCTGACCTCACCCCCTAACCTTCCCCCCGCCTGCCCCCCGCCTGCCCCCTACCCCCCACCTACCTGCCCCCCTCAGGTGCAGCAGGCGGAGGAGAGAGCCCTGTGGTGGCGCCATGCACCATAGAACTGAACTCACACCCCTACCTTCCCCCCGCCTGTCCCCCGCATGCCCCTACCTCCCCCCCACCTGCCCCCCCATCAGGTGCAGCAGGCGGAGGAGAGAGCCCTGTGGTGGTGCCATGCAACTATAAAGCTGACTGCTCCCCCCTGCCTGTCCCCCACCTGTGCTCCCCTGCCCCTCTTCCTCCCCGTCTCGTTTCCCCCCGCCTGCCCCCACCAGGTGCAGCAGGCAGAGGAGAGAGCCCTGTGGTGGCGCCATGCAACAATCGAGCTTGCCTCCCGCATACTGCACTGCACCGCTCTGCACCCCTCTGCGCCGCAGTCAGCGTTACCCAAAAGCAGCAGTGATGATGTCATGTCTGATTTGCTGTGCAACGATGGGATTGATAGCAGTTCAGGAGGAGGATCGGCAGCAGCAGCAGAGGCACCACCAGCGCCAGAAGCAGCAGGTTTTGTGGAAGGCCAGAGCCGCAGCAGCAGCGCTGGTGTGCCTATTCCGTGTGACTCTATCGAAGGAATGAATGTGGCAGTTTCGACTGCGGTGCTGCCCATTGCCTCTATTGCCACTGCTGTTTCAGCTGCAGCAGCGCTGGCAGATTCACCGGAAGCACAGCTGCTGCAGGCTGCAAGAGAGGCGCTGAATAAGGCTCTCTGTTTCGAGAATGAATGATTGACCAGGTGCAGCCTGTTACGGCGACACGTGCAAATATTATGGATTTTGCACAGTTTTGCTGTACCAATACCTGCTCTCTTGATGGTAAATTTGACCTGTCGTTATAGTGGTGTGGTTTTCCTGACTCAGTATGATTTCTCAGTAACTGGTATGGTGTGCTATTGCAAGCAATGAGTGAATGGGGTAGATAAAATGAGAGTGAATGGGAGAACTAGAAAGAGAGCCTGACAGACAGCAATGGCTAAGGCTCATTGTAACCAGGGTACTCGGTTGCTTTCTGTAGGTGGATATGTGCTCCTTATACGGTACCCCATATAGTTTGCTATAAACGTCAATTACACTCACACACAAAGAAAGGCAGCTACCTTTGTTACTGTTTTTTCTTGTTCTTGGTCACTGGACATGATAAAACTTTATAGAACCACAGTAAATAGCACCCACATGTCTACTTAGAATCCACATGTCTACTTAGCATCCACATGACTACTTAGAATCCACATGTCTACTTAACATCCACATGTCTACTTAGCATCCACATGCCTACTTAGCATCCACGTGTCTACTTAGCATCCACATGTCTACTTAGAATCCACATGTCTACTTAACATCCACATGTCTACTTAGCATCCACATGTCTACTTAACATCCACATGTCTACTTAACATCCACATGTCTACTTAGCATCCACATGTCTACTTAGCATCCACATGTCTACTTAGCATCCACATGTCTACTTACTTAGCATCCACATGTCTACTTAGCATCCACATGTCTACTTGCACCCACATGTCTACTTAGCACCCGCATGTCAACTTAGCACCCACATGTCTACTTAGCACCCACATGGCTACTTAGCACCCACATGTCTACTTAGCATCCACATGTCTACTTAGCATCCACATGTCTACTTAGCATCCACATGTCTATTTAGCATCCACATGTCTACTTAGCATCCACATGTCTACTTAGCATCCACATGTCTACTTAGCATCCACATGTCTACTTAGCATCCACATGTCTACTTAGCATCCACATGTCTACTTAGCATCCACATGTCTACTTACTTAGCATCCACATGTCTACTTAGCATCCACATGTCTACTTGCACCCACATGTCTACTTAGCACCCACATGTCTACTTAGCACCCACAACACTACTTAGCACCCACATGTCTACTTAGCACCCACAACACTACTTAGCACCCACATGTCTACTTAGCACCCACATGTCTACTTAGCACCCACATGTCTACTTAGCACCCACATGTCTACTTAGCACCCACATGTCTACTTAGCACCCACATGTCTCCTTCCCACCCACATGTATACTTGTCTGTCCCCTCCCCACGAATCGTGTTACATTAAAATGCGCGATGTAACTTTTCAGTGCAACGTAGTCCTTCCAGAAAACGGACATGTGCCGCCTATCATGCAAGCAGCCAAGCAAAGCCAGCAGCCATGGTGACGGCAGTGGCAATGTAGCCTGCCAAAGAGAGAAGCACAGCAACAAACAACATTCAGCCACTCCGTTACAGTCACAAGAGGGAAATAGAGACTGCAAAGAATAAGGAATGAATGAACTAGGAAAGAGGTGGGTACAAGTAGGAAAACCTAGAAATGGTGTACCCCATATAGTCTACCCCACTACAGCCTACACAGACTATAGCATATAAGTTTCACACACCCCCATAGGCAAAGTGGGGGAGAACAAGCGGTCACAAGACCACTCAAGCAAAGCAAATCAAGCTCAGGGTGGATCACAACGTCACCACACAATCCAAGCACAAGAGCAAGGCCAAAAGGCCAGTTCACATGCAAGCTCATATATTAAGGGAAACAGGCAAGTGCAGGTATAGATAGATCACAGTACAAGCAAGGTCAAGAAGTGAGCAAGTGAGGCCAAGTAGGCACAAGACCTAGCATCGTACAGAAGCGCTGATGATCACTAAGCGGAAGTGCCTTGGTAAGGATATCAGTTGTGTTGGCCTCAGAGGCTACGTAAGCAAGTCGGAGCTGACCACGCTGCTGCAGCTCACGAGCAAGAAACTAGCGGAGAGCAATGCGCTTCGTTCTGTGCTCCAGTCTCTGCTCCCAACACAAGGCTAGCATGGCCTTGTTCTCTACGTACAGAACTCGAGGAGAACGAGGCTGCTCCCCTAGGTCAGTCAGCAGATAGGTGAGCCAGCGTAGCTCCTGTGCAGACATGGCCCCCGCGTAGATCCCAGCCTCACAGCTGGAGTCGAGAACAGAAGACGAGCGGGTAGACCGCCACGAAACATAACCGGAGCCAAGGCTGAAGGTGTAACCCTTTGACGACCGCTGCGTAGCCTAATCGTCAGCCCAAGAAGCGTCAGCGTGACCTGTGAGGACCACTCGACGTCGCCCTCCAAGCACTAGCCCCATGCCCAACGTACTGCACAAGTAGCGCAACACCCTCTTCGCTGTAGCCATGTGCTCTGATCGGTGTCTCCCAGAAGCAACATAGCGTGCCAAGATGCTAAGAGGGTATGCTAGGTCAGGTCGTGTGCAGGTCATCAGGTACATGAGGCAGCCAACAAGCTCTGGGTACAGGCCACTCGGCTCTACCGACTCATCCGAAGGCAGAGCTAAGAGCGAGTGGCGAGTAGGCAGAGGAGTGGCCTGAGGCGAGGAGTACATGAAGTCGAAGCGCTGAAGAGCCTGCTGCACCATGTGTGACAGAGTCAGGGTAATGGTGCGCTGTGCTTTGTCCCGGGTGATCTGCAAGCCAAGGTAGTTGCGCAGTTCACCCAGGTCTGTGCACGTGTGTCTCTTCTACAGCTCGGACTTCACGTGGGCGAGTCCAGCAGTGTCAGCAGTGGCAAAGACCAAGTCGTCGACGTACACAAGGATGTAGAACGATGGCAAAGAGGTGTCGGTGCGCAGAAACTGCGACGGGTCGGCAGTAGAAGGAGCAAACCCAAGAGCTGCAAGTGTAGTCCTCGGTGTGTCGTGCCACTTACGTGGCGCCTGGCGGAGTGGGCTGCCCTGTAGAAAAGTTGTGCTGAAGTCAAGAGAGTGAAGCTCGTAGTCGCGCTGAGCAGCTATGTGCAGCAGCACCCGAAGAGTGGTCATTTTCGGGGTGGGAGAGAAGGTCTCAAAGTAGTCAACTCCCTGCCGCTGATTGAAGCCTCGAGCCACGTAACGCGCCTTGAAGACAGGCGGAGAACCCGGCGGCCGCTTCACCCTGAAAATCCACATGCCACTGACGATGTTCGCCCCAGGTGGGGGAACCTCCTCGACGTAGGTGCCCGTGGACTTCCAGGAAGCCATCTCTGCGTCCATGGCTGACTGCCACTGAGAGGAGTAGGGACCCTCGATCGCCTCAGCGTACGATCGAGGAGTCGAGATGTCTGGTGCATCCGGGTCTCCCTCAGGGGCAATTAGCGTGGACACAAGATGAGGCAAAGCAGCAGCAAAACACTGGAACTCCTCTTGCCTGTCCTCAAGGACGTCCGAGCTAAGAGCACACTCACCCCCGACGGACGGAGGACAGACAGACTCAGACTCAGCAACAAGACTAGCGGCGTAGTCTAGTCGATAGCGAGCAGCAAAGTCGACAAGCTCAGCAACCAAGGCAGACGTAGTAGTGGACTCAAAGGAAGGGTCAGTGACAACAGTAGCCAGGAGATGCGTAACTGTAGGACTGGCAGCCCGAAGAGAGTCAGACTCTGGGTCAGCAAGAACATGAAGAGAGGACTCTGGAGGAGACGGCAACGGGACACAAAGAGGAGCAGTGAAAGGACGTAGTTCCATCTGGTGTGTGCCTGGGACCGCAGAAGGACGCGGACGTGGAGCACGACTAATAATGAGAGCAGCATAAACAAGCGACGTAGGACGAGACGCAGGCTCATGATGCTCAGCAAGACCTCCAGTAAGACCAGTGTAGGGAGAAGGAGCAGGAAGGGGGGAGGCGGGCTGTAACTATGACAGCGACTGGACAGGTTGTGGACACTCTAAGGGAGGAGCAAGACCAGTAGAGGGCAGGAGACCAAGAACCTGCTCAAGGAGCGGAACGAAGTACGGTCGCGGCCGCGCAGCGCCTCTAGAACCAGCAGGGAAAGCACCAGTACCCCCAGCGGCAGCACCAGCGCCAGCAGCACCTCCAGCTCCAACAGCGCCAACTCGAGCACCCTCAAAAGCACCAGCGCTAGCAGCACCTCCAGCGCCAACACCCCCAGCAGCTCCAGCTCTAGCAGGACCGTCAACTGTAGTACCGCCATGAGCTCTAGTAGTACCTCCAGCAGGACGAACTCCAGCAGCCCCAGCAGCACACCCAGTCCCAGCAGCTCCAGTACCGCCAGTAGGAGCACCTCCAGGACGAGTAGCAACAGCAGCACATCCAGCTCCAGCAGCACGGCTCCAGCGCCAGGCAAACCACTCACGCAGCTCCGGCGTAGAGAGTAGCTCTTGCCTCGACGAAGCACCGCCAGAGGCCACACGAGTAGACCCAGCACCCCCAGGCTCCGCACCCCCAGGCTCCGTACCCCCAGGCTCAGCACCCCCAGGCTTCGCATCCCCAGGCTCCGTACCCCCACGCTCAGCACCCCTAGGCTCCGCATTCCCAGGCTCAGCACCCCCAGACTCAGCACCCCCAAGCTTAGCACCCCTAGACTTAGCACCCCCAGACCCAGCACCCGCAGGCTCAGCACCGCCA